TCAGCCATATTATTCACATATCGAGTCCCAACAGCAACAGTGTAGGGATGAGCACGAAATACTGTAAATTAAATGCTGAATGACGGTTCATGCAGGGAAAGAACGTATCAATATTCGCATATTCATTCAAAAACATGAAAATTCTTAATGGAGTACCCTCATTTTTTATTGAATTCCTAAAAAAAAATATTTATAATGAATTTTAATAATTTTTTCGAATTTTTTTTAAGCTTTATTCTGACCGATTCACCCGATTCCCGATCTGGATCACCGATTCGCCGATCGGGATCGGTTTTTTAAAAGCCCGATCCGAGTCACCGATCCGTTTTATAAACCATTGGATGGGGCTGAAGCTCTATTAAAATAAACGAAGTTTGACCTCATAATTCATCCAAAATTACCATTCAAGTCAACCGCTTGATCTTGGACACTCTTGTCAATGCAATAAAAGATATGAGTAATTTTCGTGACATGTCCAATAAATATGCAAGTGGTTTGATAGGGCTGAAGCTCTATTAAAATAAGCGAAGTTTCACCTCATAATTCATCCAAAATTGCCATTCTAAGCGTTGAAAAACTTTTAAATGGATCATCTCATTTTGGGTATTATAGTTGTGAAAATAAATTAAGGTTTTAAATTTTAAAAATAATATATATTACAATAAATCATCTAGACCATCTATTTCATCTCAAAAAAAATAAAACGTTAACAAAGGTTGTACCTGAGTTTCAAATTTTATTGCCCATGTTGAAAATTGATTTTAAAGCGAACGAGTTTCAAATTTTATTATGGGTGTTGGATAGTTTGATTTTAGGGGGGATATTCCAAATAAGGATTTGAGGTGAAAGCCTGGGCCTATAAAACCTTTCATCCAGTAAATATAAGCCCTGAATATAACCAGGTCAGGGTTCACACAAATCTCTCTGTCTCTCTCACTCCCTCTCTTCAAGCGGAGAAATAAATTTGTTTGAGGGGAGGTTTGCCCTTTGAGGACCCATTCAGGACCTTTGAAGTTCAAGTTTCTGGTCAAGTGATTGTCTTCAGGTGATAAGCCATAGGCGATTGTTTTTATGGATTCAGTTTTTGCCCCTTTTGCCTCAATTTTTTGGTTATTAGCTGTGTATAAATTCGTTTTCGGCAGGGGATAGTTTTGGAGAGATTGTTTACTTATGATTATTATTTGACAGCTCAAATGATGGAAAAATAATGTCACAAAGTTTTGGAAAAAATAATGTCATAAAATTTTGTTCTGGATTGTGTTTCCTATGTTTGGTGTTTTGAATTTTTCCATCACTTTGCGCTCATTGGAATGTTGATCATTCATGACTGTGGTGAAATGTTTGTTAAAAGGCTATACTATCAGTGAGTGATAGTTTTCTATATCTGAAATTTTCTCCCTTGTTCATTTTTTGCTTAGGCATCCTCTACACCATTGCTTAAAATGCTCATATTATGACTGCTCTGTTCGAGCCCATATATGTTTACATTAATTTTTTGACATCCTTTCTCTCTTTATTATTGTCATAAAATTTCACCATTTTAGTTTTCAATTTCATATGCATCTTCAATTTGTGTCTTCGAAACACTTAGCACTAATCGCTAGTTCCCAGCTATCCATTAAGACTGTATCTTACCCTTATTCAAATATTTTTGAATTATTTACGATACCTGTGATTCTGTTTGGCTTTTATGATTCTGAAGTCTACCTTCTTAGCAGATTTTTTTGTTACCAGCTGCGGGGTATTTATTGTCAGTTTGCGACATTTTTGGAGGGAATGTTTCTTTTGATCAGCATTTGGAATCTCAAATGAAGGATAAATCTTATATGCAATGCAATGGTTCCGAATGTGTTTTCTTTGATTGGTTCTTCGAATTTATTATGCCTTATTTGCTTAGTGGAATTACTGATCGTGCATGATTATGCCAAAGTGTTTGATTAAATGCTGTGATGTTTGTGAGTGGTTATTGGCTATCTGAAATTTTGTTTGTTGTTCATTTTGTGCATGTGGGAAATCCTCTTGACTATTGCTCAAAATGCTCATATGGGTTCTCCCAGATTTTGGATTACATCTAGATATTATGCCTTCTTCTCATGCCTATCTCTATTAATATCATTTTTTGTGCCATCCCTTAGAAGAGATGTCGTTTTGTGTCTAGAGAAATGGCTGCCTTCACCCCTTTCTCTGTAACACTTTATTTTTATCATCACCCCATTAAGGGGGGGAAAAAAGAAAAAAGCATAAATGAAACTACCAGTCTTCACGTTGAAAGCATATCTCATGGCCCAAATTCCACCAAGATTCTTACTCTACAGATCCTTTTGGCCTTTCTTTTCTTTTTCTCTCCCAAGCCATGTTCCCATTCCTTGTTCTTCAAATGCTCCTGGCTTCTGGTCACCCTCCACAGTTGCCGTGCAAGCTTGCAGGTGAACCCAGACTGAATCTGAGAGCTTGTGAAGAAATCAATGGACGAAACTGGAGACGAGCATAATGAAATTGGTTGTGAAGAACGCATGTCATCAATTCCTATAGAAGAACAAGAGGAGCAGCTGGATCTCAATGAGGACAATGAAGCAGAAGAAGCAATGGATGACACTGCATTTGATGCTGACCAAGTGGAAGACTTTGAAGAAGTAGAGGAAATGAAGGAGGCAGTGGAGATTGAGGGAGTTGAAGAAGAGGGTAGTGAAGAGGATGATGAGCAGAGTGTAGAGGCCAAAGGGGTCGCTGAGGGTGCGAGCCCAATGACCAATGACAAGGAATATAAGGGGGAAAATGATTTGGAAAGCAAGAAGCATGCTGAATTGCTTGCCCTTCCTCCTCATGGATCTGAAATCTTCATTGGTGGTATTCCTCGTGAGGCCACCGAAGAGGATTTGAGACGGTTGTGCGAGCAGATTGGTGAAATAGCTGAGGTAAACATTTGTAAACTCTACAGATGAGAAATTTTTCAATTAACTTGGTACTTTCTCTCTCTCTCTCTCTATATATATATATGTGTGTGTGTGTGTGTGTGTGTGTGTGTGTGTGTACTTGGCTGTATTTAATCTACAAATTATTGTTGCTGAACAGCTCAGGTTATTGGAAGACAAGGCAACTGGTGCTCACAAGGGCTATGCTTTTGTAACTTTTCGATCAGAGGAACTGGCACAAATAGCCATTGACGAGATCAATGGCAAAGAGTTTAAGGTGATGTTCTTATCATGGTCTTGGCTTTATTTTTTCAATCAGGTTGAACTTTATTTTCATTTCTTTGCTTGCCTTGTTCCTATGTGGTCATATTTCCTTCACTGCTTTACCAGGGGAGAAACTTAAGATGTTCACACTCGCAAGCTAAAAACAGGTTATTTGTTGGAAATATTCCAAAGAACTGGATAGAAGAAGATCTAAAAAGAGTGGTGGAGGAGATTGGTTCTGGAGTTATAAATGTAGAGCTGATATTGGTAATATCGTTGAGGTCCTTCTAAGTACTGCTTTTCATATTTGAAATTCTGGTAACTCTTCTAGGTTAATCTAAGTAATGATTTTCATATTTGAGATTCTCAGCATCTTATGGTTATGAATGATCTTACAAGGAATGCAGGACCTACAACGGAGTGGTAATAAGGGATATGCTTTTCTGGAGTACTATAATAGTGCTTGTGCTGATTATGCACGGCAGAAAATGTCAAGCCCAGGTTTTAAACTTGACAGCAACACGCCAACTGTACGCTGGGCTGATCCAAAGAACACTGCAGATCATGATCTTACTTCTCAAGTAAGTCTTTAAAGCCGGCTAACTTTCTATGCTCTCTCTTTCCTTCTCTCTCTCTCTCGCTCTTTTCTTCTTCTGGTTTGTTGTTCCCTTATGCGTAGTTTCCTCTTTGTGTCATTTATATTGGTCCATCGAACAACCAAAGTTATTAAAACTGGATTGGACCGCAGTCTGACTGGTAAAACTAGCGATTGGAACCTTGTTCGGTCCGATGCAAGCATTAAATCGAGATTTTACATTGAACTGGTCAAAACTGGCATTTGATTAGTTGAATCTGTTCGATCATTGGTTTTACCAGTTCTAGTGGACTGGTTTGGAAAGTTTAGCTTATATTCCATTTTCAAATTTAATGCCAATTTTTTTACAAGATTTTATTCTTTTTACCATTTTTTTCACGTTGGTTGCATGGGAACTTTTTATTTCTGAAAATTGTCCCCAAAAATCATGATAAAAGGGCTAGTTTTTTTAAAAATCTTGCTTTTTTGTCAAAAACTCTCTCTCTACATTTCCCAGTGAAAGTTTGTTTTTGTCTTGGAAGCAAATGTTCCAAGGGCATAAGAGTGGGCTACTACCTACTAACAATAAACCCTAATACACTCATCTTGTTCCGGGCAAGCATCGATTGTTAGAGCCCATAAGGGCTGATGGATACTTCGTTGATCCACCAATAGAGAGATAGGAACACTGGTTGAGAAGTTCATTTTGGAAGGTGTTAGCAGTCCAAAGTGACACATCTAATTCTACATCTTTATTTTAAGTGCTTGGGTGGTGTTTGACTTGATTGCAGATGGGATACCTGTGATTTCTGGATATGAGACTCTCATTTATGTGTGTCATGGTCAAAGCTGTGTCCGTTCTTTCTCGTGGAAGAGCATTGGCAAAAGGGATTTTTATTCTTTAAAAATGAAAACCATACCTGGGTCCCTTCTGCTGAAAGCATACATTGCATGGCTCACATTGCGTCCAAATAATGTTGTTGCCTGTGTCCATCATCAAGTAGTACTTGTTTGATTGGTTACCATTACGAGAGCGTTGATAATAAATTGATTGAGGAAGCCATGCAAGATGGATTGGGACACCTGGTCCAGGCGGGCATCGAACTGATCACAGGCTAGCGTGACCAGGTGCGCCTTGGACCTGTTCACGACTACTGTGGCTAGGACATTCGGATCCAGATTGGGGTTGTACGAGGGTGACCCGGGTGAGTCTATGTGGATCAACTTCACCCATACCGATGCCACAAATGTACAACTAGGAGGAGAGAGATTAATATGAGGAAAGAAAATTTGGAATTGGAGGCCATGGTGAATAGTTTGAGTGAAGTTCAAAGGGCTTGAGATGGTCTGACTAGAGCGCGTGGAGGTATTTATAGTATTTTCTATCCTCCACCCCAATAATGCGCCCACCAAAAAAACAAAAAGGTTGTTTAAAAGGTCATCACATGCTTGCTTTTTTTTTTTCTAAAATAAAAAAAAGGCTAAAGGAAAAATATGCTTGCCTTTAATAGATAATAATACTATAAATATAAATATATAATAAATATATGATATTTATATATTTATATATGATATATATTTATATAATAAATATATATCATACATAATAAAATATAATACATATATAATATAATATAATTTATATACATATTTTATATTATATATAGTATATAATAAATATATAATTATATTTATATATTTATATATTTATATATAATATATATTATTATATAAATATATATCATAGATATAAAATATAATTATATATAATATAATATAATTT